ACACATGTGAAGTTAAGAAAAGAATCAGATGTGTATTTTTGGATAACTAAGGATTATAAGATTCAGACTTGAGAACGGATGAAGGTTTTCATCTGGTATATTAAAACAGGAAGTGAAACATGACTCGGAGAAAATTTCCAGAAGGAAGCCTAGATATTTGCCTTTCAACACATTGAGTAGGGAGGAGGTTTTTATTAAAACATTTGATTACAATTTCAATTTTCAATATTCTATAAGGATCTGTGGCTGTGGCTGGAAGGTTGCCGGTTGGTATCCCACGGCCGACAGGAATCCTACTCCATTGGGCCCCTGAGTGAGGCCCTTAACCCCCCCTGCTCCAGGGGTGCTGTATAAATGGCTGACCCTGCGCTCTGACCCCAAGCTTCTCTCCCTGTCTGTGTCTCTCATGGGGAGCAAGTTGGGGTCTGCGAAAAGACAAATTCCTAATACAAGAAATTGTATATGGCCAATAAAGTGATCTGATCTTCTCTTATATATCAAATAAGGGTGTATCAAATCCAATTGTACCAGACATTCCTGCTGTCCATCTCTGATGGGCACATTTACATTGAGTACAGTTAAATTCTTTCTTATAATAAATTAGGTCTTGTGTGTGTAATCTCCAGCATGCTTTCAAATAAAATAACTTGATTTTTTTGGCTCTTTGTGTTCCTTTTACATAATCTTATTCAGGTTTCCAATGCAGGTATACATTATAAATATGAAAACAACTACAGCTGGATTACTTTAGGTGCAGTGATGTGTTGGGTTTAAACGTCTGAACCTGAACGAGACGAGGCACAGTACATCTGCCGGTAATTTGACACAACAAAACAATTCCGTGAAATGCAAAAGCACACCTAGCTTCACAACTGAAGAGCACGACTGAGTTCAACAGCAAAGTTTCAGAGAAAGACTATCGCTTCGACCAGAATCTCGCCCACCGCTGATATCAAGCAATTTAAATAAGAATGTAGCTGACCTTTTTTTAAAATAAAATCTATTAAGGAAGCCAAATTGAATTATTTTTGTAAAGTGCCAGTCATGTTTTCATGACGTAGTGAAACGTTAAATAAAAAAAGGCAAATATATATATATATTGGAGTGTTAACAGCCCTCCTTCAGCTCCTTCTGCTGAACTGCAAAACGTAGCAACGCAGGAGACCTCCGCTGCGATTGGGAAGCAGCTGCTTCCCTGTCGCAGCACTAGACAGCCCTCCTTAGCGGGGGGGGGCGCGCACGGAGCGAGCAGGCGGCGCGCTCGCACGCGGAAAGGAGCGCAGCTGGGTTGGTTTGCTGCGCCCGGCTGGAGATCTCAACAGCCCGGTGATATATTGTACATTCATGTTAAAAGATAAACACATGTGGAAGCGTGGGACAGCCTGCGTTTGGTCCCCCCCTCCCCTCCCCGGCCAGCCCTGCCAGATCGTTTCCTAATGACTGGGAATCTGCTGCACGCCTCCCAGAACCATATGTCAGCTGCGCTAATTTTAGCAGCGTGCGGCTGTATAATTGGCTTTCTGTGGCTTCCTTCATCTCTCAGAATCTGAGATGCAACTGCACAGCGCACTGTGGGATCCGGTCTGTGTAATGTTTTCTTTATGACATATGTAATGGAGCAGCTGAAGATAACAAAAAATCAAGATTGTATGAATTGATGGCTAATTTTACACGAAGTGTCTTAAGTTTGGGGAAAAAATGCTCCCACCTAAATCTTCAGTCTTCCGCACTAGTGTCTTACGTCATTAAACAATTCATATCAAAAGCACTACAAAGTTAAAGACGTCTTTTAAAATCAATTGTGTACAGGTATATGCAAACCAGAATTGAAATACTATCAGAAAAAAGAACATTTGTACAGATTTCTTTGATTAAACTGCCTCACAGTATTTTATATTTGCCTAACGTAAGAAATTAAAATTTGTTACCTGCAGTATACTGCACCTGCACACACCTAAACAGGTGGATAGCAGTGTAACGAAAGGGAGAACATTAAATGAACTAAGATTTATTTGAAAAAGTGTGAATAAAATTGGAGGCTAAAACTTGAAAATTTATATCTAAATGTCTAAATGATATTATGGTATCTAAAATTTGAAAATGTCACATGGTTCGTTAATACCGATAGATTAAAGTTGTCAGATGAAAGGGACATTTTGCTTGTTATCAGACCCTCAACAGCCTTGTCTTCCTAATTTCAGACCAGGAATATACTCCCTCTTTGTTTTTCCTGGGCCCTAGGTCCCCAGTTCCACTGACTGGTGGTCCTGAAATTATTTACAAGACAAGGCTATGGTACCTTGGGGTGGTTTCAGTTATGCTCATTTCTTGTAAAAGCTAGAAAGAAACTGTTTTCTGATGATATGGAGAGAAGAAGGGTGTTTTGCATGGAAGTGCCACAGACCAGAGGCCAAGTAGAGTCACAGTGCCACAGGGAGCAGCTCAGAGAGAATGTGGATTGATGTTAGTATTGGGCACAGCTCAGAGGTG